CTGGAACAACGTTGTGTTCTTGTCCACGAAACTCTAGGAATAAAGTGGCAAGGGTCGTTCCTCCAATATTTCGACATATTTCGCAAAATTTATGTTGCCAATGCACTCCACTAAGCTCGATCTCCCACCAATCCAAACAGCTTCCCAAACCATCACGCTGAAACCACCATGCTTCACAGTTGGCTGCAATCTGTTGAGCCAAAACTCTTGGTGAGGCATTCTCCAGACCCATATTTTTCCACTGTCCAAAAATTGAGCAAATCTTGATTTGTCTGAGAACAATACGGTCTTCCAAAAGTCCAGAGGCTTGGTCATCATACCACTTGCCCACTTCTTTCGTCTGACTATGTTGGCAGGTCTTAATAAGGGCTTCTGTCTAGCTGCTCTGCAACGATAACCCAATCTGTAGAGAGTCCATTGAACAGATTTCGGGCTCATCCCACCGACTTTGGCCACTTCTGCAGTCGTTAATTTGGGATCCATTTCGATGCTCCTCTTGACAGCCTTTTTTGTCCTCTCCGATGGACCAGGACGACCCGGAAGCTGCTCAGTTGTTTCCTTGCCGTGTTTCCTGATTTGCACGATGATTCTGTTGACTGTCGAAAGCGGGATTCCCAAATTCTGCGAAATTTGCCGCTGACTTATTCCACCATCTGCCTGACCAACTAACTATCCTTCCTCTAACAAAATCTGACAAATCGAGAGAACCTTCAGTTCTAGGCATGTTGTAGCACAAGATAATTAGTGTGTGGACCATTTTCATTTATATAGTGCTCTGTGAACACAAATTAGTTAGCATAAATCAGTTAAATGACAAAAAATTAGGTGTCTATTTACTTATGACCACTCAGTGTACATATATAATGTATTATAACTGAAATGTGACTGTATTTTACAAAACACTAGTCCACTAAAACACAGCCAAGATATGGTAACATGAGTGCATGTGCACCGCATCATTGAAACTTCTGTAATGTTAGCCAAGCATGGCTAAAGGGTTAATATAATAAAAATAATAAATAAAATATACGAGATTTAAGCCATTTAGACTAAACATTTGTGTTTTCATGTTATAATTTGTAGTCATTCTATAACAAAAAAGGCATAATTTACATTTATTTCCTAATTTTTTATCAACCAAACTCAAACAGAGAATTGATAGTGAAAATAACAGATAAAATATACAGTTCTTCTTAAAAAACGTTTAATACTTACTTGGAGATTATAAAGAGTTTGTACGTGAAATTTTAAAACTTTCTGATTCACAAAAATATTGTTTAATCTTAAAATCAAAATTACTTTGAATGTCGCATAGTCACCATTCCAAAAAAAAGGCACGAGAAAAACATTACTTAAAAAATTGTAAAACTTTATAAAAAAAAAAATTTATATTTTCCATTTGAAAGCCTTGTACTGTTTACTGATAATCTGCAGTAATCTGGCTTACTAATGTGAAAGTTATAGCATGAAAATTATAACAAGCACAAAATGGTTACGAGGTCAGTTAATTGGACCAAGCCTGTTCTGAAAAAAAGAGTTTAAAAAAAGTTTAACTATTACATTTACAATGGCTGTCAAAAACAGTTTCATTTTGCCAATATAAATTGTACAAATAAGGTACTTTATCATTCAACAAATAATTTATTTAAAACAAATTTTTTACACTATTCCTTGATGCCCATCTAGTTAGATAAAACTTGTTTTCTGCAAAAAAAAAAAAAAAAAAAAAAAACTTAGTACCTTCTTCTTCTCGAAGCTGTTCTGGCTGCCCATCTAAGTCAATTTTATCTTCCTCCAGACCAAATTCCTCATTGTCCACAGGCCTGCTTGTTAAATGCCTCTGATAAAGCTGAAAGTATAATTAATTAAAAATGTATGAGATATACAATATTTCTACAAGGTGTTTATAACTTTTAATACACTGCTCTAACCTTTTTCAATGAGAATACTAAAAATCAGAAGGTAGTAATGTATTTTATTTTTCTAAAGTTCGCACTAAGTGTACGTAATAAGGATTAATTATTTTGAATACAAAGTTAAAAATACAGTAAAACATGAAAAATACCGTACCTTGGCAGTTTCTAAGAAATATCTCAAACATTCACAGATACATAAAAAAAAAAGACCTAAACTCAAATGAATCACAATGTTACCTTAGACAAGGTTTTTGAAAGAATAGGTCGTCCTGGAAGAGCAAAAAGCTTCTCAACTCCACCAGTTTCTTTCCAGTGCATAAGTCGTTTAGTTGGAGGAGCCAAGTCAAGGGTGGTAACAATATCTGTTGTATCAGACAGCTGAGACTTCATCTCCTCACCAGATATATTTTTCACCTCATCAACAACCAGCTTTCGTTTACGCTTACCTTTAGCTTTTTCTGCTCCTAAAAAGAAAAACATAAAGAAAGAGAGATAAATAGAACACACCGAATATTACATGTCAATACACATTAACAGTGATATTGAAATAAAACAGTAGATACTAATAATCATACTAAAAAAATTGCAAATCAGCATTTAAAGACAATGTTTTGAAAAGATCAAAGGAAACCACTCTCACCAACTGTAATTAAACAAGGTAAGCAACATTATAAAGATACCAAAAAAACAATTTCACCAACTTCAGTTAAGTAACAGAGTAAGTAAGCAACAAGATAAAGACCAAAGGAAAACAATAAAGTCTCCAACTGATATTAACCCTTTCCACACGAGTCACAGGCCATGTCATCGCATTTGTTGACTCGCATTCAAAATTTTATTGAGCTAATATTTTATGAATTTATATCAGTAAGTTGGTATCAAACTGTAGATTATAATTCAAATTTTAGTATTATACATTATCCAATTTCTTAATTTAAAAGTAAATATAAAAAAAAACACACCTAAACATCAATGTTTGTGTGTGTCACATGGTATGTTGAATGCAGCACTGGTTCAAATTGGATGTTTGTGATGTCAAAATACAAAGTCTATAGTTTCGTATGAATTAGGAACTCAAATTTCCAATATTAACAAGTTACAATATAAAGTAAGAACTTCCTATGTTTTCTATTTACTGAGGTATCGCTCATGTACTGAATCAAACACAATGGCCCCACTCACCTCTTTCCATTTTTGGAAATGCTCCCTTATATTTATTTACTTCTGTCTATGATCTGTGAAATAACAAATACTTGTGCTGCTGCTTTTTCTTTCCCACTGGTTTTCTGTAACATTTTATCATTAAAGTGCTCTAAAAAATAGTGATTCTTGTGATTCATTCTTCATACCTCAGCATCATCCAACTTCACTGTGAGAAAATGTCTCATACATAAAATACAACTAGCAGAAGATATATACGAATTCAATAGGAAATTAAAACTTAACGAATATTTCTATGAAGGTTAAAATAAAGATGAATCCTTAGTAAAAAGTAAAGAAGAATTTAATAATAATAAAAAGTCTGATATTACAGTGTTTTCTTTTATCTATCTATCTATCTTTACCCTGTACTATAGTGGCATCAAGTGGTGCAAGAGCAAATGTCTCTTCTTCATTATGGATTAATGTTGTTTGGTCTTGAGGCATGACATCTGGTTGGGGAAGCACACTGTGGTCAGCATCTAATGGTGGAGGCATGCCTTCATCCCCCCCACCCCCAGTATCACCAGTCTGCATGGGTTGAAGGACTTCTTCTGGCGGAGGGACAGAACCAGGTGTAGAAGGAGCTGACATTCCTCCCATGGAAGAAGGGCCCATATCTGTTGAATATAAAATTGTTTTTACATGAACCCCCTCAACCAGTGTTATGCAACTTTCACAAGCAGATTCAACAAGGTTTAATTTCTAACATTAAATGAATAATGTTTTAAAACATTTGAAAATACATCTTTTGAACAATTAATAAAGGATATATTATTACAGTTATATATTATATGGTATAAACTATAAAAATTTACGTATTGATATTACTTGGCCCTAAGGAATTCTTCTGACAGAGAAATAGAACTCATGTTACTTACAAGTAAAAACACTGCACTAACTAAACATATATAGTTTTGTTAACATAATAGATTTATAATTCATAAATATGTTTTTTTTCACATTTAAAAAAATATACCTTTATCGTAAAATATGACTTGGAGTTTTCTACACAAACTGAGAATATTCAAAATGCATTATCATGATTACTAGCAGTAAAACATGTTTCTGCAATACGGAAAAGTTAATATAACAATCAGGAATGAAAATGGGCAAAGGAAATATTATGGGTGCAATTCATAGCATGAAAGGTGCAAAGTATCCTAAGGGAAGGTCTGGGGACATGATCCCTAGTAAAAACATTTTAAACATTAGAAGTTCTCTTGTGTATACTCTCTCTTTCTTCTTTTTTTTTTTTTTTTGCCAGGTGTAATATCCTTAAAGTTTGGTTAGTCATCTGAATGTTCTATGTGCTTTATAGTAGTTTAATATATCCAAACTGTAGAGTGCAACCCTGTGATGCACAGTTTGTTAGTTCACTACATATTGTGCATAATTTTTTTTCTTGGTAAATCAACATCAATTAATTTTCCCAGTTCTGACTTCACTGCTTGTAGTTTACTCCCGACAACAAATGTAACATCTAGTTCTTTCATCAATCAGTCTCACCTGAACTAGTTTTTAACAAAATTATCAACTTCCTTAGCCCCTGATTCATCATACTGCTTGATAACCTCTGTCATTTTAAAAACTAATTCCATCTTTCAATAAAATCAATGTTCAAACTTTCAATAATATTTTTGCATGAAAAATCCATACTGTATACTATGACATTTTGCAAATTTGGGAAAACGTATTAACTACATTCTGATTACAAAAATTACAATATGGCCCTTGTTTACAAAACCTAGAATTTGAGAGTGCATTTTTGAGAGTAATAAAAAAAAAAAGATAAAATACTCAGGGTTCTAGCTGTCACTAACCAAATTGCCACTTCTATTGGCAAATTTTTATTTACTTTAAACCACTAAATTGCAACCATAAGACACTTTAGTTAAGTTAATGTGATATCTCATCTAAAATAAAAAATTACGAAGAGATTCTATATCATATTTAGAGTCTATAACTTGTTAATATTACCTTTACTTGTCCTCAAAATATCTCAAGTGTAAATGTTAATGGTGCCAACCTCAGTCATGATACTTTTATTTTTATATATACAAAAAAAAGAAACATTTTCTTTACCGAACAATATAATTTCAAGTTCCTGTGATCGTATTTTAGGTACATTTTCTTTCATTATCTAACTAAGACAAGACTAGTTATAAGGCCTTATATGAAAAGATTAAAAATTCCTAAAACAAAATATTAAAATATTTTGATAAACCAAGACACGTGTTAAAACGTCAAGTTGTGCATAATGTTTATGCTTTTTTCAATTAATGGTAATTATAATTACTTCACAATATATTACTTAAAATCTTGTGACTTGAATGAAGTGATGACCAAAATTATTATAAGATGCACTTTTAAAAAAATGTCAATTTTAAACACAAAAAATGCACAGAATGAAACCAGCATTGGTTTGTTTACATTCTATTTCTTTAGTAGAACACCTTATAACAACACACAGGCCACTACGTTTCCTCCCACAAACTAAACCACATGTATCATGGTATAATTGAGCTATGTATGCATTACATGGACACGTGCTTTTCATGAAAACAAAAGAACTATTAAGTCGAGAACTGAACAATTTGGACAAAATTATTTTTAATAAAATGGCCTATATATATATAGGCTGAAAAAGTTTTTTATTATGAAGAAAATATCAGTATATTCTCGTTAATGTGAATGCGAATTACCCACCTCCCAAATATTATTCCAGGATTATTAAGAATATGTTCAACAATCCTGAGCAACATCAAAAAGCTAGAAATCTGATGATTGACAAAAAAGATTATCATCCCTACACATCAAAACTTAGTTCAAAAGAAATATAAAAATTGTCACTGAATGTAGCATCACCTGCTGTTCTTTCACTTTAATGTTATTTGATTACACTTGCACATCTAGTTTATAAAATTTGATACATTCATGATACGGGACTAGAAATCATACTTATGTTAAACTATACAGTATTCACTACGTAATATCATGTAATACTAACCATACACGTCATCATCATCATCAGACTCTTCTGGTCTAACTTCTGCTTGTGGTGCAGATGAGGGGCCTTCCTGAGCCTCTGGGGGATTATCTGTATTACTGGTATCCATGGGTACATGACCAAGTGGGGCATCATCAAAAAGTCCAGTTGGCTCAAATAACCCTGCATCTCCCTCTTAAAAAACAATAACCATAATTTTAAAAATCAATAGAGTAAATTGTTGGATCTTTAACCTTTAATATCCTGAGCAGTAACTTGTTTTCACCTTCATGCAGCATCACCAAAAGTTATATTCAACTCCAATTATTTCAGTTACTTACATAAAACTAAGTTGTCTATTTATGAAAGTACACAACTATCATGTTACATGCAGCTTGCACAGTCTTGTACACAATAAATAATTGCTATAAACATTTTTGTCACATTAAATATACCTGTATAACTAAATTTTTGGTAATTAATAGTTATACATCTCTAGATGTATATACATACAAAAAATTATTCTTATAGCAACAAAAACAAAATATTAATAACTACAAAAGTGTTACATACTACAAACAACTTCACAAGGTCAGGAAAAAATAGAAACATCAATCTTCAAGAAGTTGAAGGAAGGGAGGGAGGTAAACATAAGAATTCAGTTGATTGCAAACTTTATAAAGAAGGTTAATCATTTAACTATATATTATATTCTTTTGTCAGGATTTAAACCCATTTGTTTTTATGATGTAAAAGAGAAACTGAAGGTCTGTGTCTAAGTCAAAAAATTACAGCATAGATTCTACACTTAGTTACAAAGGCTACGTGAACTATATTTGCTTCATATTGTATCACTAGATCTTTCAGATACCATAAAAAATGGAACATATAAAAATCTCTGACTGTACCTCTTAAATTTCATTAAAACATTAATCAGAAAGTCTGTGTAAACATGACTGTTCAACATCAGTTGTCCCAGAGCAATATACTAATTTTCTTTGTAATTTCACCTGTTTCAGATTATAGTATGAGTATACAAAAACAATACATAAACTTGGCACACAGACTGATAAAGGACCAATAAGTTTCATATTGTAAATCAGATGTTATCCATAACAAGAGATTAAAGTGTGGGACAGTTAACTTTTAAACCACCCTGTATACTAACTATATGTATAAGATATATCTAAATCTCTGAGGATTATTCTCTCTTAAAACGTAAAACATAAAAAAAGAATGAAGTTTTAATTTTCTCTAATGAAATGGATGGGCCTAATGGGCTTTAACAAGCATATGAATATTGGGCTATAAGTTTGAGAGTTTGAGTCTCAAGTCCTTGCGTTCTTCGACATTGAACCTGTTTGTTCAGAAGACCATTCACATGGCTTAATCCAGCTTCAATGATATACAAACTTGGAAAGGCATAGAGCAGTTAGTTGCATAGGCCAACCATAGGTCTTTATTCACCCCCTGTACAGTCTCATCACCAACTTTGGGAAACCCTGCTCTAAAGTATGCATTGAAAGTACCCTAACCAAAAGCCTTCTCAAATATTTCGCTCCAAAACTACTATATTATATCTTATAATTTGTTGCATTAACTACAACCAACCCAGTAATCCCTTTCCTACAGTTCCTCCAAAACTTACATCTTGCATCCTATAATTTGTTACACTAAATACAACTTACCCAACAAGCCTTCTCCTACAGTTCCTCCAAAACCATCATCTTTTAGTGGAGCATCAAGGGACATGTTGGGTTTGGAACTAGAAGGGCCCTGTTGGCTGGCTTCATGAGGTTCATGAGATGTATCTTCAGGTTTATCTTTGTTTCTGTCTTCTCCTAACAGTAGACTTGCATGATCAAAACCTTCATCAATGTTTGTTGCATCTCGAGCTAATTCAGGATCATCAAAACCCATATCACCTGAAACATGAAGAAAAATTCTGGAGGTAACCATTTTCTAAATAATGATTTTTTCACTTCTTCCCTGTACACAGTATCATCCCTATGTGATTATAAAGCTACAGCAGACAAATAGGAAAAAGAAGTAAAGCAAACAATTATCTCTTCTAGTTACGACCCTTGTACTCGGTTGCTGCTTGATTTAGGTTGTTAAGCCTTTAAAAATTTTGCATGTGGAGGACATGAAACAAAATAATTTTTTTAGGTTTTATATATACTTTTGAATAACTAAAAAATCATAAATTACTACATCAGTACCATAGAATTATACTATAATTTATCAAATGTAGTAACTAAGCTGCATTTGGGTCTAAAAAAATATGAACTTTTGAGCAGATTAAAGACACAACCTACCTCATTGAAATCTTGATTTAAAATAAAGAAATGATGCTAGGTACATTAGAAAGGCTGAGAAAGCCACAAGGGGAACATTCTGAGCTTTCTACTGGTTTTTACATGTCATATACAGAAGTGTATACAA